AGGTGGACGCCAGCCACCAGAAGGCCCACTCCTTCGTCAACCACTACATCAGCGACCCCACGTACTACAACTCCTGGCGGCGGCAGCAGAAGGGCATCTCCAGGGCCCAGGCCTACAGCTACACCGAGAGCGACTCCGGGGAGCCGGAGCTCAGCGCCGCGGCCCACAGCGGCGGCACCCAGCAGGGCAGCCTCTTCCGGCCCAAGGCCAGTCGGACCCCAACGCCCCAGAACCCTCCTAACCCCCCGAGTCAGCAGAGCACCCTCTACCGCCCCCCCAGCAGCCTGGCCCCCGGCTCCCGGGCTCCGATAGCGGGATTTTCGTCATTTGTTTGACACCAGAAGAGGAAAAAGAAAAAGGAGAAACGAGACGGCCCCGCCCCCCGCGCCGCCAGACGGCAGAAACGCCAAGAACCAAGGGGACGCTTCACCTCCTAAGTTTATTTTTCCAGAGATTCCAGGGCCAGCAAAGCCGGTGTTGAGAACGAGGGAGAAAGAAACCACGAGAACACGTGTGTGACCAGCCACGGTCGCCTTCCAGATCGTGGGGTTCATGGCTCCTTCGGGGAGCGAGCAGAGTTGGGGGAGAAGCTGTGGCGGGTGCGGAGTGGGGTGGGCCCTGCAGAGAGAGGGAGGGGAGGAGGCAAAGGACCCCGAGGGCTGTGAAACAGGCGTGGCGGAGGGGAGAAGACGCTTCTGGAAGCTCAGCCAGCTGGTCGGGGTGGGCTGGCCCGGCAGGGTGGGCAGCCCTGGGGCAGAGCTCACCTCCTCTTGCAGCCCACACCCCACCCCGCCTCCACCCGCCCCCAGACCTTGCTCCGCTTCTCCCCCAAGCATTTGGTTTACTGAGAAAGGGGAAAACCAAGGGTGGGGATTTGCTCAGCTAGTTTCTTGTCCCTGAAATGTTTCCTATTGTGAGTGGAAGAAGAGGGCTCCTGGGGGGGAGAGCCCCCACCTCTAAGCCCAGCCACCCCTTTGCTTGAATTCATTCTCTGAACACGGGGCTGGGTTTGGGAGCAGAGGCGGAAGGCCCTGGCTGGGCAGGGCTGGGCTGGGCAGGCGTGACCAGGCTGGAGCCGGGGGAAACTGACTCCTACCTGACTGGCAATGGAGGCAACCATCCCCTCGTCAGGGCAGAGGAGTCGGTAGGCAAAGGGGCGCACCTTGCCTGGAGCTGGGGGCCAGGCTGCAGGGGCGGGGCCTCGGTTTTTGCTGGGTAGAAGCTGCCATGTACCACACCGCCACATGTCATCCACACATGTGCACTGCACGCGTGGTCCACATACATGCATCGTGTGTGCTCTGTGTACATGCACCACGGTGTTCCACATGCACACGCCCACACATGCACCACCTACATGAACCCACGATGATCCACACACATGCACCCACACATGTTCCGTGCACATGTGCCTCATGTGTTCTGTGTACATGTGCCACACGTGGTCCGTCCACTGTGCCCACACGTGTCCTGCATGCATGCACCTTGCGCGTGCCCCACGCACGTGCACTGCACACATGTTCCATGCACCTGCACCACACATGTGCATTCGCTGGGGGAGGGGGCTCCTCCCCAAGACCAGTCCCTTCAGGCGAGTCGCCCTTGCCCTGAAGCCCAGCCCTCTGTCTAAAACAGCTGCAGGCACCCAGGGCGCTGGGCCAGCGGCGGGAGCCCCAGAGTTCCCCCAACCTGCCTGGCATCTGTTGTACGACAAACATCTCCCGCCCCAGTGCTGCCTTGGTTTCCGGGACACAGCACCCACGGCCCCAGGCTGGAGGGGGCAGGCTCGGTGGGCCCAGGGGCTAGCTAGAGGGCTGACGGGAGACAAAGCGTTAACACACAATCTGCTCCGAGGAATGTTCCTTAACAAGCCTCTTCCGCTGGCCTGGATCTTCCCATCAGCTCAGGACTTCCGGACACGCAGGGGTGGGGGGTCCCGCTGGCTCCCTGGACACCCTCAGCCAGCCCTGCAGGGCGGGAGGCTCCCCACAGGGATGAGGGCTGCTCCCGGGACCCTGCTCAGTTCCACAGGGGCCCCAAGGCGCGCAGCACGGGCCTGCGGGCCCCTTCCCTGGGGAGGCGGTGGCCTCCTTGGGGGTGAGGCGAACACTCGGGCCCGGGAAACACGGAGGAGATGCTCAGCAGACCCACCCGCTCGGGGCGTCCAGGCAGGAGGCGAGACCCCTCCCCCACGGGTGGACTGAGGTGCGCCCGCGCATCTGGCACTGCCATAGCAGCACATCTGTCCGCTTCCTCCTCTCTCTCAGCCTCTCCCTTTGCCACCTCCCCCTTCCCGGTGTGCTGCTGGCCACGCGAGGAAGTTCCCCGTTTGCACTAGGGAATTCCTTTCATTCAGCCGTGCGCGGCCGGGATCGGGGGGAGCAGGAACGAGTAAGAACACCCCGTGTGTGCGTGCTGCACGTGAGGCCGAAGCCTGCGCCTTTCACGGCTCGCCCGGGGCGCAGATGCTCGCCCTGCCCTCCCACACGCAGGCTGACACGTGTGCGCGGGCCAGATGGCGCCCTTGCACGCCGGGCTCACACACGCGCGCACAGACACGCGCAGACGCCTTGCGCTCCCTCTGCCGCCCCAGGAGCCTCCCCAGTGAGGCCCGAGCAACCGAGCAACCGAGTCCCTCCCCTGGAGGCGCAATCCCAGCTTCGTCCAGACCCATCTATGAAATGGGAGCCCAACCCCCGCCCACCCCGGCACATCTGGAAGCCCACGATTCCAGCTGTGCACCTCTGGATGTCTAAGAGGACCTCTCTGCCCTGTTTACATATCTGTGGGTGACGGAGGCGAGGGCAGGGAGCCTCCCCATCGACACCAGGCACGCTCTGTGCCTCTCACCCGCTGCAGGTGCACCCCGGGCCGCTCGCCCAAAGGCACCTGCTCTTTGTGCCCTCGGGAAATCTCCCGTGTCCCCGCCGGAGCCCTCACTCGGCACCCGGGGCTGCCCTTCCACTCGTGACCATGCCTCCGGGGTTCACATCAGCTCTGCACCCAGACTGCCAACATGAACCAAAAAGCGGCTCTGGGTACCATAAGCCCCTTCTCCCGGGACTCCAGGGACTTTGCACACCCAGATCGCCTCTCCTGCCCCCACCTGACACTGCCGGCGAGCCAGAGGAAGCAAGGGCCCTGCCCGCCCGCCCGCGCAGGCTGCCTCGAGGCCTTCTGTCTGCCCACACTCCCTGGGCAGTGCTTTCAAGGTGCCAGGCCTCCCCCTAGCCCACCTTGGGCGGGGGCTTCCCTCACTCCCCACGTCTGACAGTGTCCACACTGGGTAAGGGCCAGGGGGCCGGAGGGGGCGTGGTGGCACCTTTGCCCACTCTGGTGCCTCGTGGTGTTGCCCAGCGGCAGCCCTGGCCCCACCTGAGCACAGCTGCCCACTCGGGACCACCCCTGTCTGTTTCTGTGCGAATAACCAAATGCATTTACACGTGTTACCTTTCTTTATGCGTACAGACTCCAAAAACAAAAACCAACACAAATCTTTATTTTTTTGATTTAAAGGATATAATGAAAAAGTATAGGGAGAGTATTCATTATGGCGGGTGTCTGTCTGTAAGAAAAAAAAAATATATATATATATATGTCCTATAGCTTGTTAGCAGGTTTATTTTTTAAATGAAAGGTAAGAAGGAAATTGGTTTGAAATATATACCACGAGAAGTCCCGTGTCCTGTCAAACTTGTCAGTATTTTATAAATAAACGTTTTGTTTTGGAGTTTGGATACCACATTCATTCTCTCCTCCCTGGGTGGTAAAGGGGGACCCTGCCCGCTACTACGCTCAAACAGTTCCCCAAACATTCTGCAGAGACAGGTAAGGATCCAAATTATTTGCTTTCTCGCTAGGTGCTCGGCCGCAAGACCCTTGGCGTGGCGTACACCGGTTTATTTTCCACTTGTAGCCTAAGCGCCTGTCTGGTTAAGCCAGATCAGAGGCAAAATGATAAGGTTTCCTAACAGTGGCCACGGCCACCACGCCCCCTGGCCGGCCTGGGCTCGGCCAGGCACCGTCCTAGTCAGTCTACGTTGATTAACTCACGGGTGCCGAGACAGCCCCGTCGCGGGAGACTGGACCGAGGAGAATGTCAGTGACGCGCCCTCACACCTGCAGTAAAGCAGCCAGTTCTGGCTGTCTCAAGGCAAGTTCCTCCGCCAGCCTACTGCGATCAAAGCAGGGGATTCGAAGGCTCCATCTCATCTGTGTATCTCGTCAACTATACTTAAGACCCACAAATGTAACCCAGAGGCCAACTCTCACCCATCACCACAGTGGCCTGAGTTCAATTCCCAGCCAGGGAGGGACCCCCAGGGCTCAGCAGACCCCTCCTGTCTCCCGCTGCTCCCCTCAGCAGTGTGTTTCAGTGGATACACCTGTTCTGCTCCCACTCTGTCGCTGGTGAGTCCTCTCACGGCCCCTCTGGCCGACACCCAAGCTCTTCTGCACACACACACTTTTGTTTTAATCATGCAAATGTAAATCATTCCCTCACTTGTCCCCATCAGGCATTATTCCTCTTTTTAAAGAGTGGGCTCCATGCATAGGTCTTTCTTGTCAAGACTGTTTTTCTGCAGAAGAACTGGGGTTCAGGCCAGAGGTGCGGTGGGGTGAGAGGATCTACCAGAGACAGAGTGGGAAGCGGAACAAATGGATCTACTGAAGCCCACTGCTGAGGGGAGCAGGGAGACAGGAAAGGTCTGCTTTGCCCTGTGGGTCATGCCCTGGCCGGGGCTTGCACTCAGGCGGTGGCAGTGACAGTGCTGAGACTTAACCCCTAGGCCACCAAGGAGGCCCCACTTCTTATCTTCCTGCCACAACGCACATCTGAAAACCATCTCAGTGAATTCCAACCTCTGTCTCTTTAAAGACAGGTGAATCTTTTATAGGAAGTCAGACTGAGGGTTTCCGGTCTCCACTTCTGCAGGTAAGGAGCGTGGATGTTGCCCAAGAACAGGTAAGAAATGGAACATGCTGGAAAATCAACACCTCTGAGATCTGTAAGACAGTTGCGCTCACAGACCAAACCTCTGCCTCAAAGCTGCAGAGACAGACGGGGGGTACGGAGGATCTCGGCTTGCCGGGGTGGAAACTGTGCTCGCTTCATGAGCAGAACCCCAGCTTCTACTGTTTCTTTCCGTGGTAGTTACAGTCCTTGTCCATGGCTAGCTGAACACTTTTACTCCTGAAACTTTCTTCTGTCAGCGCCATCCTTCCCCGGAGTATTGGGTTAACTGCCAAAGAACTGCTGTCCTTTTAAACGCCCCTATCTGATCCACTGAGGTCATATTTAATTAAACTGTGTCATTACTATAAAAAGTACAACTGGCATAAACAAGTTTGGGGCTGGTGATAATTGGCTCTTTGTAACCACATT